GGAAGGAAAAAAAAAGAGAATCTTTCATAGGGAACTCACCACCATAGTATGAGTAGCAGCTCGGGCACCGAGCTGACCAGGAGTGAGATCAGCTCAGTCTGTGACCTCCTCTGGGTATGCAGCCTCCTTACTCTTCTGGAGGCTGCACTAGGGGTTCAGAATGCTTGGACTCTCCTCCTGACTCCCCGAGCTGGATACCGCCATCTCTGCTGCATGGGTTGACTCCTCGGAAGCTTCAGCGGCAACATCAGCAGGACGAGCTTCGGCTATAGCCTCTGCAGGGCGAGTCTCAGCAGCAGCTTCAGTGGCACCCCCGACAGCAGCCTCGGCAAGCTTAGTAGTGGGTTCTGCCGCCACCCCGGGCTCCTGAGGCACCATGTCTCCCTCCAAGTTGATCACGGGGGAGTGTCGCGAAGCTCGGGCTCCGAAGCCGGGACTTGTGGAGGCTGGGCCTCAGTAGGAGTCTGCGGAGATTCGACGCGCGCCTTCTTGGCTACGTGTTTCTTCCTCTTCATCTGATGGAATAGCCTCTAACTTTCTATCTTCTCCGCCTCCATGGGACCTGTAGTGAAGCTTGGCGTTAGTAACTCTGAAGTGAGTATTTAAACGAAAAAGCCAAAGTAAAGACAAACCTACCCGGGCTCAAGCCGGCCTGGATGAGCTTCTCCTCGGCTGTGAAATCCTTGTAGTTCATCCTGAGCTAAGCCCACGACTGTAGTGACTTCTTGGTCTTCCTATCAAGGATAACACCGGGGTCTTGAACGGCCACCCTCCAGTCAGTAGGGAAAGGCCACCCCGTGCTGCTCCGAACTATGAAGTAGTCCCGCTTCCAGGCCGGGACTTTACTCGGGAGCTTGTGCATTAATTTAAAGCCCGGGCGGGGTAGTAGGTCCGCTTGTGCCCGGGGAGAACGCCCGAAGCGCTCTTCTTTATTGACAGGATGGTACAAAGAATGTCTAAGTCTATAGGGAAGGGGCAGTCAAAACAAAGGGAAATGGTCCCGACCATGTTACGTATAGAATTCGGGTGGAGTTGGTCCAAGGTAATGTTGAAGTGCCCCAGAACCTCAACGATCACGGGGTGAAGAGGGAGATGGAGTCCGACAACTAGTTGCTCCCTAAAGATCACGATCTCATCAGGACTGTGCTCCCATGAGAAATCGCCGGTAGGAAGGCTGTAAGAATACTCCCTAGGAAGGTGAAACCTCTGGATGAGATCTTGAAGTCTCTCCAGAGTCATAGTAGAAGGGCCGAACTGATCTGGCACCCGACCTCGGTGGGAGGTGGATGCCAGATGGCCCGAATCCACCCGTACCTCGGACGGCTGGGCGGTAGAAGAGGCACCCTGAGCCGAGGTACCCACCTCGAGCTCATCTATGAGACTGTCTACACTAGACATGAAAGCATGGAAAAGAAAAGAAAGTTTGGAAAAGGAAAGGAAGCTCGGGAACTCACCGTAAAAGACGCAACCGAACTAAGGAAATGACTGAACTGGAAGACCCGAGCTGGGAACCTCAGATGCGAGCTCAATACAGACACTGAAGACTTTGTGATGAAGAAAATGACCAGGGTCCCCCACTATTTATAGCCGCTGTATCCGGGCTTTGACGGTTGAGATTGAGACGATCCTACGACTCTCAAAGAAACCGGCTACGGGCTCCTCGAGGTGAAATCAGTTTAGCGCATTTTTTGGCGTCCGCGAAGTCCAAATTGCATGACGTCCGCGCGTAAGCCGAACGCAGCTGGGTTTCTTTTGATCGAGTCGGGCACTGGACCGGTCTGGCCAGACGAATCGCCCGACAGAGGGGCATGAGTACTGAAGTCAAATCCACCCGGCGCGTCATGAACTCCCCGAACTGGGTCAGCACCTCCAGCATAGGGAGTGGGGGCAATTGATGGAGGGTGATTTGGCTCAACCTCATAGCATGGGGGCACGTGGGTGTGACATTGCTTAAGCGATGAATCAGCGTGACAGCACAACAAGCGTAGCCGCAACTTGGTGAGAAGGGCTCATCGAGTTTAATCTAGCAACTCAGCGGGTTAGGCTACTCGTTGAGAGTCATCTGGCTTGCACCTTCTTCCCAAGGCTGAGGCGCTCTGAGCTACCTCCGAGCTCGGGGCCCCCTGACTTTTCCTAATGCCCGAGCTCCTCCCAGTGGGTTCTAGGCCATTCCCAAAAAGGAGCACCTCGATCCGCCTCTAAACACCCTGAGGTAGAGACACCTCGGGTCAGTGCCACTGGTGTAGCTCGCCATAGGCAGCTCGACAGAACTTGCCATAGGCATCTCGTCGCTCGCAGGGTAGCTTGGTACAGGGTAGCTCGCAGAAGAGCAGTTCGGCCTATCACAGGAAGATCTCCTGCCTGACAACTGTATCTGGCAAACCTGGAGACTGGGACCACATCTTTTGTCTGACGGTGTCATGCCCGCCACCTCTAGAAGATGTCCTACATCTGACAAGTATGTACCCTGCAGCGACGACCCCGCATGTGCCACCTCAGCCCTAGCTGTAACGGCTGCGGCAGGACGACAGTGGCGGTTATACCTGCCCTGACAGAGGCAGGTGAGCCTGATTTGGCAGAGTTATGTTATAAGTAGTCCTAATCCCAAAGGGTAGGTGATCTCTTGACACCCGCTCTATCTGCACTCTTAGCCCCCTTTACTCTTCTTGCATTTTTCACAGAGCTCTAACTTAAGCATTGGAGTGTTCTCGCCGAGCAAGTCCCCCAGGAATTCCTTGTCTTCTCCATCTCAGGTGCCACCCAGGAGCCACGCAACCGCCAGCTAGGAGTGACCGGATCGCGCACCATCACACTTCATGCCAGCATGTACAATGATAGTTCTAAGTTGTTTTGTACATAGTATTGGAAAAGTGGGTTACATGAGAAGTTTCTAGGCGTATATAAAGATATTGTTTTTAGAACATTATTTTCTCTCATTCATTTAATTGAGTTGTTATTGGGTTATTATCAAATTCATTCCTAATATACAACAAAACACTGGATGAGAAGCTACAATTAATAAAGTTGAAAATTCTCTAAAGAAATCTTCAGTAAAACAGTAATAGATTAAATTGAGAGACAAGTGTATTTTGTAGTGAGAAGTAAAAACTTATGTGTGAAATCCGGCTTGATTTACATCCTTTTATAGATTCTGGAGAGTCATCAAGAGGAGTGTGCTCATGTAAAGAGACTCTTTGTACAGTCACAAATTCAAATTTTGTGATTGTTCATAGTTCATTAATAGTTAATGGCTATTAATGTTTGCATAATGTCTCTTGATCAAGGCATGGTTATTGGATTAATTTAAAACGTCAATAGTCATGATTCGGCCTCCAAGACTCAAATGCACCCTTATGTGTGGTTCAAATTAGAAGCGGTTTTCCGAGTGGCTATTTATAAATCGTGAGTTGCAACTTGCAATTTTACGATTTTGCAGATGAAATAACTTGTGATTTTGTAGAAGGCTTACAACTTGTGATTTGCAATTTTGCAAAAAACTTACAAAATTACAATGCAATTTCACAAAATACTTGCAACTTGCGATTTGCACTCTTGCAAAATCGTAGTATGCAATTTTATACTATGTTATCGTAAGTCATCTCATCACATTAGGTGTCATCGCACCAAAATATAATTATTTCACGCAAATGCAAATAAAATGCGCTTCATTGTACTGCATACATACATACACATGCATTGCACGATAGCAAAGTCTTTATACTCTCATCTTTATAATTCTAAAGAATGTAAATAAATTCTTACTTAAAAGCTCAAATAAAATTATTTTCCAATGTAGGACAAATCTTAAAAGAAGAGAAAGCAAGTTAAAATAAAGAATTTTTGTTGCAACATTAGAACAATTCTTTAAATAGATGTGTAGTTGTCCTTTGCCGTATAATTAATCAAGCAAACTCCTAATGGATTTAATCTCTAGTGAGATAAAAGTCCAAGAGATAGTACCCATGAGTTGTCCAGATCAATACCATTCATCCCATTCAACACGAATCCACTTTTGCTATGACACTGTCGTAGCGAAAGACAAACAAAAAATCATGACTTAGGATCTACTGCAGTGGCCCCTCCAAGAAGTCACTCCATCTAATTCAAGGTGAGGCGAACGGGCAATATCAACAAATCAAAGGCTTTGATTTAGTTGTTTCAATACTGGGCTATGACAATATTATAGCAAATGTGGGTTGATTCAACACACCCTGTTTTTTACTTTCAAATAGGGGTTGTGGATACCCAACCCCTTCAAGTCCAGAACAATGACACCAAACAGTAAGAGTATAAGCTGAGATATCGAATTATGTACGAATAAAAAAAAGTCGAACGGTTAACAAACGAGAACCGCAACATCTGATTCTTGATCTTGTCTGAATTGTAATCAGATGTTATGATTTTTCATCCAAATTTAAAATGTGGAAAAAACCAAACATAAATCCCCAAAAATAACCCACAAATATGCAACTTGGTCCATTTTTCATCCCAACATAAAATGGGCTTGACCATTCTTATGGAAACATCAAATATGGGGTTGCATGCGCCCTCCTCCCCTCACCTTACAATGTCAAATAATAGCTTAATTTGGAGAGGGGACGGTACCGGTCATGCCTCCGCGGCCTGTGAGTCCTCAGCTAGATTGAAACATGTAAGATGAGATTGTTTTTGAGAGAATGACTGATCAGTCCAGTTCAAAATTCTTTAGCCCCAATGCCCCACTGTAAGGGAGATGAATGCCAAATCCACGGGCAGGATGCAATTTATAGGAGGGGGGCTGTAATTTCAGAATTCAGCATTGGGCTGTACTTCTCCCATTGTTTTTTGTACTAATAGTTACACGGGACAAAACCGGAACAAAGAAATCCGCTTCCTGTGAGTTTAGCGACGGTACGTATTCTGTCGTGATTTCCGCGAATGCAGACAGAGACAATAATCGGAAGTGGCAAATTTCATTCATATAACAGAAGAAAAAAGCGCCAAGTTTGTTTGCAAGGAAGTATCAAAAGAATCTCGGATTTTATTGTTTAAGTATGCCATAATATAATTTTTTATAGTCACAATGAGAAAAGCCATCGTCGTTCGTACACAATAACAGCTGTAAGGAACAAGCAACCCTACAAACTTTGGAAACCAAAATGGTTTATTACGAGGAAAAAGAAAGCACAAAGATGAATAAACATATCGGCATATGCCATTCTTACAATAACTCTCTACAACTTCAACTAGCGATCTAAGAATTACAGCTTGGAATGGAAGAGCGCTGCAAGGACTGACGACTGGAGGAGCATCGTAAAAAGGATATGAAGTTATCATAAACTCACAAGGGGTCAACAACATCGATTCCTTTAACCAACATTTTAGGTGTATGGGTAAGATGACAAGAACTCATCTGTAACCACCATATGGTTGTTGAGTATAACCACCTGTCCCCATCATTGGATTGTAGCCACCTGGCATGGTTGGTAATCCAGTAGGAGGACGCATTTGGACAGGCTGTCCCATGCCCATATTCATCCCCATACCCATGCCCATGTTCATCCCCATTCCCATAGGTTGATTTATGCCACCACCACCATAGCCTCCCATTCCCATGCCAGCACTAGGACCATTCATGCCCATGCCCATGCCCATGCCCATGCCCATGCCCATGCCTACGCCCATTCCAGCACCCCCACCCATGCCCATGCCTATGCCCGAATTCAACATAGGGTTTAGAGGAGGCGTAAGGACACTTACACCAGCTCGGCCGATCCCAGAGCCAGATCCCATGGCCTTACCCATGGTAATGGTAGAAGTTACAGGATTTGCAGCAGGTTTCTCCTTTAACTTCTCCTTCCGGTTAATGGACTCAAAATCGATCCCTATATCTGCCAAAGGATTAATTTTGGCTGCAGTGAAAGAATTTGAAATTCAGTATTGTGGACAAAACAAATGTTAAAAAACGGGAAAGGTGTGAAAAGGAAACAAAAAAGATTGAAAACATTCAACATCCCAAAGGCCCAAGTAAAGATGCAAGCACTTACGTCCAGATATATTCAAATTGACAAGCCCTCTGCTTAGTGTATCAGCCCAAACTGTAGACTTGGTCTCAAACTTGTCTTTGGATGGTTGAGGCTTAGCTGTCGGTCCTGTTGATACAGAAAGAGATGCCTGTGAACTTGTTGAGGCAGTTGGTCCCATCTGTGGTAGCACACTCCCCATAAGATTGCTGCTTTGCTGTGAAGGTAGTCCAGTTGGGGCTTGAAGAGTTGCTTGTGAGGCTACTGGTCCAGTTGGAGCATGGAGAGCTGCTTGTGAGTCTACCAGTCCAGCTGGAGCTTGAAGAGCTGCTTGTGAGGCTACTGGTGATACAAATCCCAACTGAGGGGCAAAGTTCCCAGAAATGTTACTGCTTGGATATGCAGGTGGTCCAGTTGGAACATTAAGAGCTACTTGTGGTGCTAGTGGTGTGGGTCCTGACTGTGGAAGGAAGCTTCCAACATTAGTGCTTGGTTGTGCAGGTAGTCCTATTGGACCAGTGAAAGCTGGCTGTGGAGCTATTGGGGCTGTAGGTCCAGATAGTGAAAGGATATTTGCCAAAACATCAGTATTCTGGTTTGAAGGTGGCAACTCTGGGGGCAATAATTGTGGAGTTGTTGAAGGGAGCTGATTGGTAGAGATGTCAGGAGGTGCATAAGTAATGCCTTGAAATGTGTCTCCAAAGTTGAAGTTTGAAGCATTTTCCACCTTTGAAGCAACTGGATTGAGAGGTTCAGCACCTTGACTCGTGATTGGTTGGACAGGACTTACAAGGGTGATCGGCTGCTGCTCTAGGACACCATTTGGAGATGGTGTAGCCTTGAAAGGAGAATCACCAAATGGATCGTCAAAAGGCTGTAACAAAGTTGAAAGATGATAACATATTTTAGCTCAACAAAATAAAAGGAAAGGAAATCATTATAGGTCAAGGACAACAAAATGTAGGATTTTTCCTCATCAGAAATGGATTTCAAACCTCACAGAGAATCTTGGAGAAAGCAATAAAAGGTCTAAACCCATATATTAAAAAACCTATTGTTAATACCTGGTTCAAGACAGTTGATGCAGAAGACAATGCCACAAATGTGGATCCAGAATTTGAATTCAAGTGTTGATCAGCTTCAGAGATTGTGGTTGAAGTTACTGGCACGAGGGCCAATGAGTTTGATGAAAATGACTCTGATAAGGAGCCAAGTAAGTCCATCTCTGCACTACTTACAGTAGGTGTGACAGCTAAGCAAAGAGAAACAATACATCAATTACCAATTGCAGAGTGCTTTTTGTGCAATTATACATGCTGAAATAGCATATCATAAAATGATGAAAACCAGAAACATTTACCAAATTAAATACAATAAATTAGCCTAATATATAATTAATGCAATAATCCTGTACTGATGAAATCCTAGCTTGCAACATGATCAGCTAATCGAATAATATCGAGTTCTCTGAAATCACAATTCATGCTGAAAAGTGCCCCCCCAACCATATGTCATGCCCCTGGAGGGAAGAAGAGATCATTGGAAAAAGCAGACACACCTTTGGACCAGCTGGATTTTTTGGGAGATCACTCACTCGTACTGTGAAACTAATCATATTACTGATCAATTAGCTTCTTTTAGTGTTAAGAAAGAGGTTTAGGAGCAATTCAATCAAATTAGTCTTTCATTTTAGATAAATGCAATTATGCTGGAGTTATAGGAGTTCTTTTGTAATTTTCACCATCCTTATATAAGTGAAATAGATGGGGCACATGATCCAAGGCAGATTTACAGCCCAGTCTCTCACCCTTCTCATATTTTTTTTCCTTATTTCTCATCTTCAAACCTTTATTTTCTGATCTGTTTACTGTATTGTTTTAATTGCATTAAAATCACTACTTGGTACTGTGTCATTTGGACAACAATGGTGGTGTTCATATGTGTTTCTGGTAGCTGTAATTGGTTTCCTTACTCATAAGCATTGGTCTAATTCATCTTATAGGTGTTTTGAACCATGGGCGTTTATTTTTATAAACACTCCACATCAGCACTAAGTAAACATGGGGTTTCACCACCTACCTTTTCTGTTTGGTTGGGGTGTTTGTAAAAATAAATGCCTACTTTAAACACCTTGGTTTATGTGGAAGCTAGCATTGCAAGAAACATTATTTTGGTGTTTCTTGCAATGGTGTTACCGTTTTTTACCTTTTTGTCTATGCGGCACCTAGTGCACCTAATGGTGCCTAACTGGCTTAAACAAATAATAAAAAATGTGCACATCATCCAATATCACTTTAACGATTTCCAAGGCATAAACGTTTCATGAAAAAACACCCACAGTACCAAACAGCCTCCTTATGTGTGCCCTTTATTGTGTTTCATAGTCCTTGTGGTTCTTGGAGATGGATGCCTCAAAAGACATAAAGTTAGGAAACTGTAGCTATGTAGGAACTGGTAAGAGTTCCACTGTCCAGATACAACCGTGAAGTTAAATGGTAGATTGGTAATAATTATTTGGAATGGACAGAGTCAGCTAAATTGTCTGTTGAAGGCCAAGGAAAGTTGGGGTATCTTACCAGGAAGGAACCCAAACCCCAGGTGGATGATCCTGCATATTCCTGATGAGAGCAGGAAAATTTATTGGTTATGTTATGTGTGATTTGTTGTATGCAGCCCCATACATATAATAAGGATTAGTGCTACCTATTCTCAGGGTGATAACACTGCCTGGATTTATCAGCTAAGGAAGGAGGCAAGTAGCACTACACGGGGAGAGATTTGCAAGTATGTGCTCTCTTCATTACAGACAATTTGGGAGGTGGATCATTCAAAGGCTATTGAATGGAGGATGTGGATATTGATCAGTATCTGTGAGACATTAAGAATAAAAACCATGTATTTGAGTTCTTGGGAGGGTAAAACCGAAGTTTGATTTTACTATACAACATATTCTAAGTGCACTAAGCTTATTCTATAGTTTAGGGGGAGGAAATCCATAAGGCTGCCATCAGCCAATTTCTTGAGAGAGATCACCCTGCTCTTGCCACTTCTAGATACAATCTGAGAATTTGAGGAAAGAGTATTAAGAAGGCAGGAGTTGGACCATTGAAAGAAGCCCTGGCACATTAGAGATTGTTCATGGTAGCCTCATCCCCATTTGAAACTAGAATGGTTCAAAAGTAGGACAAAGATTAGTGCTAATATTGATACGCTTCAGAAATAGTTATCAAGGCGACACCTAGATGACAAGGCACCCTTGGAGGCTAGCCTCACCTAATCACCAAACAGTTTTGCATGTTGTCTTGTGTTATAAAATACTTATATTTTTAAGTTTTGAGATTATAATTATAAAATAGACATTAGTAAACTAAAATATTCATTTTGTGTATTTATATACTAATTTCTTTTTATTATTTTCTTATTTATTAGGGTTTAATCACCACAGACATTGCTAACTGCTGTATCGAACACTCAAAAACCTGAACCAATAAGGAAGAAGTTAAAATTTTGTCTAATCAACACATTTCTTCCACCTTATCTTTTCTTCTTTTCCTATAACAAAAATAAGGGTTCAGCCCCTATATTTTTTGAATTTTCTTTTCTTTCTTCCTTTTCTTGTTTATACTTTTCTTATGGAAATTATGGATAATTATTAAGGAAATATGGTTATGGAACCTAGGGAATTACCCTAGGATATATTTTTTTTCACTTAAAAAACCATCACGTAGGCACCCCCACTGTTGCCTGGTCTCGCCTTGGTGCCTTGAAAACTATGGCCTCAGACTGCCTCTACTCATTCCATAATTGGTATGTTATAGGAAATTTATAGATTTGTTGGAGAAGCTCAGAGAGCTTCCACCTCTTTTGGACCTAGTGCTTCTTCCAATTGCCTTTGCCAAGTCAGGTAATGTAATTATTGGGTGTACTCTCATGCCTCTACACTTAAACCTTAGATAATTGATTACGGTGTTTCTGACCATATGTCCACTATGACTTCTTATTTTGTTTCTTATAAGTGTACTCTAATAGGGGAAAAATCATTATGGCAGATGGATCTCATACCCCAATATCAGGTCTGGGTGAAGTGCCAAGTGATGGTGTCTCTATTAGTTTCATTCTTCATGTTCCACAGTTCCACAGTAATCTTTTATCTAATAATTCTCTTACAAAAAATCTAAATTGTTGTGTAACTTTCTTTCCAAACTGTGTGTTTTTCAGGACTTAAACATGGGGAAGACAATCTGAAGTGAACATGAACTTAATGGTGTCTATCTTCTGAATCAGCCATTTCAACAGATTTTGGCATCAGTCTAAATCTCCTAGTGTCAATTTTGACATTTCCTTTTGGTCTAATAAAATTATGGCACTGTTTCTCTTGGTATTATATCTTTTGACTCCTTAAAGTCTTTCTTTCCAGTTTATTTTTGTCTTATTCTAGTCAGAATGCCCAATATGAAGTGTACCATTTTTCCAAGGATTTTAGAAATTTTTATAATATGGATGATTTCTCAAGATATATGTTATATTTGATGAAGAGCAGGGAGAATTGTTAGGAATTTTTATAATATGGTGGAAATGCACTTTAAAAGGAGAAGAATATGATAATGCCAGTAAGTCTTTTTTTGTTGGATAACGGTACTCTTCATCAGACCTCATTTGGCCATACACTCAGAAAACAGGCAGAAAGAATAGGCATGTTCTGGAAGCCGCTAGGAGTTTACTTTTCTAACACATTAAGGTTTTGGGAGGATGCAATTCTAACTGCAGTTTACCTAAAGGGCATTTGGCAAGTCTTCCCGTGGGGTCTTTCAAGCTTTTCAAACCTTGGAAGACCACAATTTGGTCATTATCCATTTGGCAATAAAAGACAGAAAGCCAGAAAGACCTGCTCCCTAAAAAGCTTGTGGAAGCCCAAAACAACTGAAAATCAAGAAGCTTAAAATGAAGCATTTTGGTCTTTCCGCACTTCAAATATCCTTCTACTCCATTTTTAATAGCCTGGTAGACCAGGATACTTAAAAAACGGTCTTGATCTTTAAAGACAAGTTCCAAAAAGATCAGTACATCTTTTGGTCTACTGGGCTCTTCAAAGGTCTAACTAAAAAGACTTGTCAAACACCTCTTAATCAACAAATTGCCATCATGAGTTTTGTAGCTATAGTTCCCGCATCAGCTTTTGCATCCAGATGATCATCCTTTCCATTTGCTTCTAAGAGTTTTGGTTGTGTATGTTTAGTCCACAATTCTAGTCCTAATTGTGTGAAGTTTGACCCCAAGGCTCATAAGTGGTGTTTTTCTTGGTTGTATTTCTACTCAAAAGGGGTATCAATGTTTTGATTCTAAGTGATGACTAGTCATCGCATCAACTAGAGAGACCAAAACAACTAGTCATTGCTTTACCACATTAGTAACACTACTTAGAACTTACCCACTTCATCCTTACAAGAGCATCACAGGGTGGGGTGATGCAATGTAGATCTTTGACTAGTCAACAAAAAATAGGGACTATACTAAACACCCTGCGGTCAATTCTACAAGTGTTTTTCATTCTCCTTTAATTGTTTAAAGTAAAATAAGAAAATGAAAAAAAAGCATTCCCATCGCTCTGTTATCAAGGACCAGTAGACCACATACCATTATGAAGAGTGTAATATAACATACAAAAAAGAAAAAGGAATGGAGGTTCGATTCCTGTGTAGAAAGAAAGAAGTTCAATAATAAATCCTATTCAGAATGTCAATTTGAAGGCAGAATTATTTTATTAGTTTACAATATATTCTGCTAGGGGACACAAATCGAGCTTTTCACAAGTTAATCAAGCTCAACTCGTCAAAAGCACAATTTGGCTCGATTTAAGCCGAGCTTCGAACCAAAACCAAGTCCAATATGTAGGCTTGTTTGCTAATCGAGCCAAGCTCAAGCCTAATGAAGCTCTGCACATGAGGTTTACAAACCTAACTGAGCTTATATTATATATAACATTTTTAATTGATATATATATATATATATAATAACAAATATATGTATAATTTTTACTTTTTTATATGTACAACAAGATATAATTTTTATATGTATATATACATATATATAATTTTCAAATTTTTATATGTATAATTTTTTACAATTATACTTTGTTATCTTTCATATGAAGTGTTAGCGTAAGGGTATTTCTGTCTTTATACCTAGATTAATGTTGCTGATCTGTAATGTTATGTTGGAACCAGTGCTCCTAACTTAAATAAGGGCATATAT